TGGACCGTCAACCTAGTTATTTAAAAATGTTGAAGGGATCCTTTTTCAGAGTGTGGTGCGTTCAGGGACACTCAGTAACTTTGATTATATCTGTGTGTAGTTCAGAGTGTGGTGCGTTCAGGGACACTCAGTAACTTTGATTATATCTGTGTGTAGTTCAGAGTGTGGTGCGTTCAGGGACACTCAGTAACTTTGACTATATGTGTGTTGTAGTTCAGAGTGTGTGGTTGCGTTCAGGGACCCTCTGTAACCCAGCTGTGTGTGTGTGTAGTTCAGAGTGTGGTTGCGTTCAGGGACCCTCGGGTAACTTTGATTATATGTGTGTGTAGTTCAGAGTGTGGTGCGTTCAGGGACCCTCAGTAACTTTGATTATATCTGTGTGTAGTTCAGAGTGTGGTGCGTTCAGGGACCCTCAGTAACAGTTGTGTGTGTGTGTAGTTCAGAGTGTGGTGCATTCAGGGACCCTCAGTAACTCTGATTATATCTGTGTGTAGTTCAGAGTGTGGCGCGTTCAGGGACCCTCAGTAACCCAGCTGTGTGTGTGTAGTTCAGAGTGTGGTGGCGTTCAGGGCAAACCTCTGTTAACCCGCAGTGTGTGTGTGTAGTTCAGAGTGTGGTGCGTTCAGGGACACTCAGTAACTTTGACTATATGTGTGTGTAGTTCAGAGTGTGGTGCATTCAGGGACCCTCAGTCACTTTGATTATATCTGTGTGTAGTTCAGAGTGTGTGGCGCGTTCAGGGGACCCTCAGTAACCCAGCTGGTGCGTGTGTAGTTCAGAGTGTGGTGCGTTCAGGGACCCTCTGTAACCCAGCAGGTGTGTGTGTGTAGTTCAGAGTGTGTGTGTGTTCAGGGACACTCAGTAACTTTGACTATATGTGTGTGTAGTTCGAGTGTGGTGCGTTCAGGGACCCTCAGTAACTTTGACTATACGTGTGAGTAGTTCAGAGTGTGGTGCATTCAGGGACCCTCAGTCACTTTGATTATATCTGTGTGTAGTTCAGAGTGTGGCGCGTTCAGGGACCCTCAGTAACCCAGCTGTGTGTGTGTGTAGTTCAGAGTGTGGTGCGTTCAGGGACCCTCAGTAACTTGGACTATATCTGTGTGTAGTTCAGTGTGTGGTGCGTTAGGGATCCTTTTAGTTTTGTTTTGGGTTATTTATTTAATATTATTCATATATTTTATTTAGCTTGACCTGGTGTTCTCATCTCTAAATGTCCTGCTGTGTCCTTTATTTGCATCTCTTGCCTGTACTATATTTAGAATAAGCAATAAGAAGAAGAGCAACCATTATATTGCACCATTTTATCCAAACAATACACACAGTTTTGTTAAAAGTGGGAATAAAACCCAACTCCTAGAAACATTGGGGCTTATAACAACCAGAACACTTTTCCAGATTGACTGAAAATAGTCTAACTTTTGACAGAATGTATTCTTTTTGTCCACACTTTTCAATGAAACCCCAACTATAACCATAACATGAACCACACTATTAACAACAGAGCGAGGCCACATCATCAGAAGATATTTAAAAAGCACAAAGGTACCTTTCCTCAGCTCCCAGGCATCGATGTCAGGTTTGCTGAAGTACGTCACCCAGCCGGCGTCAAACTCCTCGTCCGTCTCCACCCGGCCGTGGGAGTAACATCTGGAGGCCAATGGAGCTGAAAACATGACATACAGAGGTTCATTTACAATGTTTTTAAATAATACAAGAGACACAAATATTAGAGTCATTGCGTGCCTATTGATTTGAACACGATCCGTGTATCCATCATTTCCTGGCCTTCTCTAAAGAAGAGGGACCAATGAAAACGTTGTCATGTTGCCGTTGTTCAGCATAGAAACATTCATTAGCTAACAATTACATTATTGTTCTATTAATATATCATGGTTTCTCTCTGACAATTCTACATGATATAATGTGATGAATCGATCCCCGTCTAATTCTCCTTGATAGCGCACATTTCACAGCAAAAAGAGAGACTTCAATCAACGTATTAATCATCTAAATGTTCATCTTTTAAACCCTAGTGTAATTCATGAAAGATAAATAGTTGTTTGAATCTAAAGCCTTATATTAATAAGCCAAACATTCAAACCATAATGACCTTAAAGTAAAAACGGCTCTAACAAACACTGTATACATCGTTTAAAATAGCTCTTCTTTTACCAGCTGCCAAAACTAATGCTTAAACAAATAAAAATCCAATTTGTTAAAGTAAACAGTATTTTGGAAAAGGCCTTTGTGCAAAATAAGTACTTTTGTTGGTACTTTAGGTATTTTGATGAGAATCAATGGGTAGTTAAGTAACTTTTGAATAGGCGTTTTACTTGGAACAGTATTTACATTTTAAAGTGTACTTTAGCTATGTGTAATGATTTAAAATGCATTAACTCAAGTACTTGTACTTTAATTGAGTTATACTTCTACTACAATTTGGAAGCCAATATTGTGCTTTTTACTACATTTGTTTAACAAAATGAGTTTCTAGATACTTTACAGATTCAGATTATTAGCTCATACAAACTATACATAAACTAAGATATACAATTAAAGGTTAAGATATCCAATAACAGCATATAAAGGCATTACAATGAGCTCTACCTGTACAAGCTGGGATGATTACACATTTATGTATATAACTTTAAAATGGGACATTACACACAATAAGTACTTTTACTTTTGGTACTTAGTTTTGAGGCAATACTTTTTGAATGCAGGACTTTTACTTGTAACAATAGTATGTTTTCTATTAGGCTACTTTCACTTAAATTAGATATCTAAGTAGTTCTTCCAATCCTACAAAAGTTACTCCATAACTGTCTCTAAAAAAAGTGAAAACTCCTCCAGAGGTCCCCAGCAGTTCTGTTTATGGAATAAGAAAGTATAACACTGTAGGTGTTTGTGGGCCAACTATATAATGTCACTTAATGTCAATCAAACTCAATCTTAGCATTGTTTTACGAAAAAGAGAAACACTTCATTTTGTAAACACGACTAATATAAACAACTGTCGGAATCCCAGGCTAAGCTAATCAGCTAGCAGCTAGCCTATGGATGAATAAAGAGAGAGAGGCGTTCATTCCTATGAGAGTTGCTCAGTGGCGCTTGAAGCCAAAAATAGAGCGACTGTAGGTTCAGAAAATACCCGGATGTGGGCCCATAGCGCATGCGCAGTCTTACTTTTATTATAAACTCTAGCCTTTGAGTCGTTGTTCCACATAACTTGCCAAGATTTTATTATTCATTGTTCTTTATTAATTATTATACTTCAATTTGCTGCTGGAATAAAGCTGTTTTTATACCGGTGACATCCTTGAAGTTGTAGTACCCCCGTTTGGCCACTACGCCCATTCATAAAAACCGTCTTCAACTAGCCTCCCAGTTTCTATTTACAAGCTAGCGTTAGCCGGGCTATCTTTAGCAGACATTACCGGGAAGACTTGCGGCTCCAGTAGGGTGTCCTTCTCCGGTTCCTCTATGATGTCGTTCATCATCTTGTCGGTAGTTGTCACAATTTACTCCTCAAAACAGCCATGGTGGGACTTTGTTGTTTTTCTTCTCGGGAGCAGGGAGGCTCTTCTGTCAGCTAATGCATGAGTGACAGGTTCCATACTACTTCCGGGAGCAGTTTTTCAAAAATAAAACATGAGAATAGCTGACATAGCAGGGAATTGTAAAGACGATTATTTCAGCCAATCAGAGGTGGAAGAAGTACTCAGATCTTGTACTTTAGTTAAAGTAGAAGTACTCAGATCTTGTAATTGAGTAAAAGTAGAAGTACCACAGTGTAGAAATACTGTGTTAGAAGTAAAAGTCCTGCATTTGTACTTTTACTCCACTACAAGTTAGAAGTAAATGGTGTATTATTCTGAAATGGTGGACTTTTACTGTAACAGATTATTCCTACACTCTGGGACTGGTACTTCTGATTTTACTTAAGTACAAGATCTGAGTACTTCTACTTTTACTTAAATACAAGACCTGAGTACTTCAACTTTTACTCAAATACAAGACCTGAGTACTTCAACTTTTACTCAAATACAAGACCTGAGTACTTCTACTTTTACTCAAGAACAAGACCTGAGTACTTCTACTTTTACTCAAATACAAGACCTGAGTACTTCTACTTTTACTCAAGAACAAGACCTGAGTACTTCTACTTTTACTCAAATACAAAACCTGAGTACTTCTACTTTTACTCAAGTACAAGATCTGAGTACTCCTCCTTTTACTCAAGATCTGTGTACTTCTCCTCTGCTGATAAACAGAGGGAGGAGCTGCTGAGGTGGAAGAACTACTCAGATCTTGTACTTGAGTACAATTCAAAGTACCAGAGTGTAGGAATACACTGTTAGAAGTAAAAGTCCTGCATTTGTACTTTTACTCCACTACAAGTTAGAAGTAAATGGTGTACTTTTACTCCACTACATGTATTTAATACCTTTAGTTACTTCTCTGGATGAATGATGTGAAATATAATCAAGTCTTAAATCAGACTTTAGTTCCACCTGGAGTAAATTCACAAGCTACCCTGCAGTATACAAAGTCATTCAAACTAGCTGCACCTTTACCAGCTTTGAGAACACTTTAATGATCAATCATTATAAAACATTTCATATATATTATTCTGAAATGCACCAATCTGCACAATCACTACTTTTACTTTTGTTACTTTAACTATATTTTGATGGTAATACTTTTCTACTTTTACTTGAGGAACATTTTGAATGCAGGACTTTTACTGGAACAGAGTATTCCTATACTCTGGCACTTCTACTTTTACTCAAGTACAAGATCTGAGTACTTCTACTTTTACTAAAGTACAAGACCTGAGTACTTCTACTTTTACTCAAGTACAAGACCTGAGTACTTCTACTTTTACTCAAATACAAGACGTGAGTACTTCTCCCAGCTCTGCTGATTAACAGAGGGAGGAGCTGCAGACAGGGAGGGACATCTAAAGTGAACGTGATGAAGCAAGCCAGACTCCATTTTACACTTCAACAGAGCAGGAGCAACAGGGTGAGTGTTGGTTAAAACCAGGCCCTGCTGGGTTTTTAATACATTATTATAACTCTGTTATAGGGGACAGCGGGGCTGGTTGGCACACTTTTCACTCTCTGTCATATTTCTCCTTCATATGTTACCAGTGGGATTTTTTTTACTGGGTGGACGCTATTTTAATAAGATCATCCCAAACAATGCCACAAGTGTGCACGCGCGCACTTGTGGCAGGTGTTCAGGTACAGGTTGTACAGGTTGTACAGGTTGTACAATTGTACAGCTTGTACAGGTTGTCTTTTCTTCGTGAATGATATTATTTTTAGAAAATAAGTCAAGTAAAGTTTTTTTGCCTGCCGTTATAGAGCTGTTTTGTTTGCGTTCTTGAGGGCGGCGAGCTGGTGGTGTCAACCTGGGGTCACGAGCGTGATGACAAATCATAATGTTTTTAAGGAAATCGTTTTTATTTTGTATTATAATTACTGTGAAATGTATTATGTTTTCGTCATTATTACAACAAATCAGGGTTCGAGTTATAAACTGAGCTCTATGGGAGTCTGTAAAACTAACGCATGCGCACACACACGCACACACACACACACACACACACACACACACACACACACACACACACACACACACACACACACACACACACACACACACACACACACACACACACACACACACACACACACACACACACACACACACACACACACACACAGCAGCAGCCCTCTACTTGCTACAAACTTAAATATGAAAAGGTTCAACTACGCACACACACATCATCTCGGCTCGCACAGCACGCTCACAGGCATAGATTGCGCAATAATGTATTGCGCACCTTGGAGGTGCAGGCAGTGGCGGCCGGCCCATAGGGGCGCTAGGGGCGCCGCCCCCCCTCTTCCCACATTAAAAACCTGAAAAATAAAAATATATATATTTAAAAAATATATTTTTTATTTTTATTTTTAATAAACAAGGTAAATATTATATAATTGGTATCAGTAAAATGTATAATACTACAATAAAATCTCGTTTAAAATTGTGTTACGATGTCTAAAGTTACTGATAAGTCACATGTTTCCTGCCTGGCCTTGCCCGTGTATCATTACTCCCTCTCGTCTGGGCGCTATGCACAGCGCCCAGACGAGAGGGCAGCAAGTGCAGCAGAAGCCAACTGTTGCTATCTTTAAACTATGTCGCCGAAACATAATTTCAGCCAATCAGCGTCGTCAAATCTGATGGTCACAGGGCTCCTACGTGAGCGCCCGGTGCAGTCTGTGAGTTGTTTAGACTCGTATCCAAGGAGACAAAACAGGAAGCTGTCATACACTCTGGAAGCTACCATTAGCAGCTAATGAAAACTCAGTTTTTGACATAAAAATTGAATTATGGATCATCAATCATTTTTCAAAGTGACAGACACATTGGATTAACCTATGGATTAACCTTCAGCTGCGTTTTTCTCGTTTTTGATCAGAATTGTTATTCTGCAAAAGGTGAGCATATCTCCGTGTTTTGCTACCTAAAGCTACGTCGTGTGATGTCTGTATTTGCTTCCCCTGTCGCAAGTTCTGATCGCTCAGTGATGATACTTATATTTCTAGAATCTGTGGAATCTCAGCTTGTTTGTGCATATCCGATAAGTATATCGATTGATTTATACCTAGAGTGCGTTAGCATTTTTTCGCTCAGGGCTCATTTAGACGCTTCTTGTGAGACTTGTGTTTTGTTTCGGTAAACATGGTTCATATCATCAGTTAGATGCGTTTCCTCTGAGTAGGACACATGAATAGTTTATTACATTTTAAGAAGCCCTGAGACACAGTTTCGTGAGAAAAAAAACGGGGGAAAAAAGCCCCTTAACAGGTTAAATGGGAATTAAATCAGTGTTCCCAAAGCCCCGGTGTTCTGCAGTTTGTGTGGGCCTACTGTACTGTTGCACAGTTTATGCTGTAGAAACTATGTCCAGGACAAGGTGTTTGGAAGTTTTGGAAGATTCATAGCTAACCACACTGAAGTTATGGAGGTATTGATCAGTCTTCTCATATTTTTAAGCCTCAAATTGTCCTTCCCCCCCCCCCCCTCTAACATCACCAGAAGTCATCATTTAAGGGGTCTTTTCTCCAAAAAAAATACCGGGGGAGCATCCCCCCTGACCCCCCTAGTATTGTTTGATCACCATTTCCACAGCCCCACCTAAAATATTTTCCACCAGCCGCCACTGGGTGCAGGCATATTGTCATTCAAGAGACTGCGTAGTTATTTTGGAAAACATGTTTTTCTTTTAGCCTATTTACCTCGTTAACGTAAATAATACTCGTTACATTGACACATGCATTATTTGTGATTAAAATAATAAACGTTTTTTTTTCATATGGAATGCAGTTGGAGGTCAACCAATCACAGAGCTTAAGGACTAATCACGGGGTCTGTTGAGCAAAGCGGAACGATAGCTGAGGATTATGGGTAGTGTAGTGTCTTCTGCCATCCTAAACTCCGAAAAAATATTTGTTTCTCCGAATCGAAGGGGAAAAATACAAAAGCATTGTACACAGTTTAAACCAATCAATGTTGTGTAATTAACAAGGATAATCTGGTATTTTTGAGTTGATGAGTAGTGCAGATATCCCTGTAAAATCAATCGACAGGAAGGAGAATACTTACTTCCGGGTGTAAAATCCTCCGTTATCCAATGGGAATGGACGCTCACATGCCTTTAACTGCCGCCGACATGGACCGATGCGGTACTTCCCTGAGCGTCAAATACCGCCGCCGATGGGAATACATTGCAATCAGTTGAAAGCTCTTTGCGTCCGTTTATGAAGCTGAAGGAGACTCGGCGCGTCACAACTGCACGCCAAAGGACCCTGACCAAGCGTTGCTATTGGACAATCAGGGAGTGAGACTGTGTTGGTATGAGCAGCAGTGCAATAGCCTGAAGTTGCTGCAGCAGCACTGAAGCCAAACTTCCCCAGGCCGGTTATTCCCATCGACCTCTAAACCAGGGGTGGGGAACCTCCGGCCTCTGGCCCGTATACGGTCCGCGAGACCATTTGATACGCCCCTCCCAGGTAATTTATAAACACTTAAAGAAAGTAAAATAATTAAATTAAAGAAATCTAGATTGCAAAATAATTAAACAAGCGAGTGCCTGTTTTTCCTGGCCATGGTCAGGGTCCTTGAACACAACACGAGCCTAACGTGTCATCACGTGGTATATGTCTCGTCTGACTGGGGTGTAGCATGGATGGATAATAAGAACAGGTGCAGTAAGGTGTAGTGCTGCCGGTGTTGTATCAAATTATGCACCCCCGTCGTGAAATGCACCCCCTGGCCTGCCGTAAAAAGCACCCCCCCCCCAAAAGATGCTTCTATTAGTCCCACCCTCAAGCACTTTGGAGGGTATATGAACTCTCCTTTTCTTCCGTAACAGTAGACAGTGGATATTGTATGTTACCATACATCAAGCATGGGTTTTAACAGTCACTTATCAAGATATCATTGAACGAATGTATTTAATCTATTTGTTAATTATTAGGGTAGCTATTAGGAGTGGGAATCACCAGGCTCCCCACGATACGATACTATCGTGATACTTAAGCCACGATACGATAGTATTGCGATTCTACGATATGCTAAGTATTGCTATACAATATATTGGGATATTGCATATCACATGTGTCATATCCATGTCCATCTTCCCTTCCTGGTTAAAAAATGTATTTGCAATATGAATAGTTTATGTAAATAACACAATTTGTGTTCTTTGAACCTTGAAAGGAGATGGCATTGTTTTTGTAACTTTCATTGCAATTGTATACATGTCTTCACGTAACTTCCTGGTTTATATACGGCCATCTTTCGGAGGGATATGCTACAGTTTATATAAGAAAATAAATAAATAATAAATATATAGTTTATATAAGAAAATATCAATACTTGGCGTCCGTGTATCGATACAGTATTGTGATACTATGCTGTATCAACTATTTGCCCCACCCCTAGTAGCAATATATATATTTATATTTATTGATATTTAGAAAGATAATCAATATTTCAGTATCTCACCAGATGTTAAATGAAGAAGGACACAACCGGTCTGCTGGATTCCAGGAAGACGGTCAGAACCTCGGCAGAACGGTCCTCTCACCTCTTAAAGATGTTCTTGAGGTCGAGGCTGAAGGAGTTCAGTCCCCGTCCTCTTTTGGTTCCTGACGGTCTTTCAAGGGATCCTGTTCGTGACGCCAAATTGTGGAGGAAATGTACAGAGACAAACTAACAAATAATAATAAAATGGTGAGGAAACCTTTCTGTTATACTGAAATGAAGATTATTGGAATAAGACAGTGTTTTAGGGAGTTTATTTTTGCAAGAAGGTAAATGGTCACAGAGTCAAGCAGTCTGCAGTGAAGAACAACATTCAGGAGGTCTGCAGAGGGTCTTTGATTCACATTTTCACACCAAAAATAGAAGAGGAGGGGCTAAGATAGATATAAAAGATAAACATACCATATATAGGATTCTTTGAAACACACCTGCTAGCAAATAGAGAAACATCATGTACACTCCACAAAAGGACAATACCACTAACCTTACAACGAACACATGGTGACCTTTGAATGCTCCCTCAGGGTGATAACACTTTCCATCACACTCCACTCTTCTGATCATATTACATATTGATCACTGTTAAGGAATAATTCTTCTAGATATCTAACCTTTTGCTCTGTGACGTTTTGTGATCTACTCTGACGTCTGTTATCTCCTTTAAGGAAAGGCCTTGGTGCCATATGTGTTGTTGTCACCAGTTTGTGACCGGTCAACTTGTCTGGCACGAAGGGTAATTGTTGTGAGAACACTGAGGCACTTCTTTATCGGTGTTTGTGGACTCTAAGATGTGAAATCCTTGAGGCCATGAGTGTCGGACGCAGGTGGTTCAGTGTTCCCAGCTGTTTAGTCTACTCCTTCAGAGATGTTGATTTCTCTCTGTGAACCCGTTAAAAGGTCTAACATAGAGAGAGGCTCTTCAGAATTGACGTGGCAACTCTACCGTGGAGTCGGAACCTCTGACTCTTTGATTTGTGATGTGAATCCTCCGGCCGAATACTCTGAATAAACCCATCAGTGTTTGACATCAAAGCTCCAACTCTCACCATGTCTCCTTCCTGAGTCGGTGACTCCATGCATTGCTACACAGAAGTTTCCTCCACAAATTGGCGTTGTCGGCAGGATACCAACAGATCTTCAGAAACTGGTAAGTGTGATTTCAAATCTACATTTGGACATTGCCTTACCAGAATCTGTGATTGACGGTATCCTAAAATTATCTGTGAAGCTAAGCGGTTGCGTTTCGTTTTGGTTAATGAACATTTGGGGCTAGTAACCCCAGGGGATCATCCAGGGACTCTGTCTTGGCTGGTTCCCTCTGTGTGTGCTGCTCGGGACGTATGTGCCGTGCAGGCATACACGGAGATGTTTAAAAAGACCTTAATGAGGACAGCAGTAAAGTGGAACTTCTGTGTAAAATCAAAATAGAGATTTGTAATGAACAAATCGCCGAGATTCCGAGGGTTTCAGCGGCCAACACTAGCAGTTAACTCAAGCAGCCAGAGATATTACCCCCAGCGCCTCTAAAAAAAAACACGGCTCCAGCTGCGGCTCCGGGGAATGTGTGTAACATACCTCCCTGTATCTGCATGAGCTGGTGAAGTGAACTCAGAGGGAGAAAATCACAGCTTTTGTCTATAGCTTTAACTCACACCACCGCCGTCTCTAGTAAAAACGAGACGGTTTAAAAGCACTCTCGTGGCTTGTGGCCGTTTAAGACGTGCTGGCAAGTGTGAGGTGCGTGCATTACCTGATGCGCCACAGTTCCCTACATTGCTGGAGGAACTGGTGCCGGTCCGGGGTGCATACATACAATTATAGGCTAATTGATCATGGGTGGGCAGTGGCATGCAAGTGTAGAACAAAACTGTGTTTCATCGTTGTGATGAACATGATGGCGTGTGTATAGGCTGGTCGAGTAGGACTACAGTTAACTGTGTAGTTTCGGATAGAAATGGTAGTGGAGAAAAAAGTCTATGTGCTCCTGATCGGGGGGGCATAGCACCACTAGAACAGGGATAGTGGGGTCGCAAGAGGATAAGCTAGTTATTGCTCTTGGACGGTCTTCAGGCACCGATCTAGGACTTGTATACAAGGGTGGGAGTGCGAGTCAAGGTGCCCCACTGGGTTCCCCATTGGGGAGAGATCATATCCCTACCCCCTCTGAAACCTCTTTAATCCGGACTAAATTGAGCTGGATAAACTTTGCTGTCACGCTGGTGTTTATTATGAGTTCATGTTTGTTCGTCTAATTGCAGTGTGGTTTTTCTTGTACTAACCGCCGTCTTGTGCATGTTTTGTAACAACTAATAATGAATCAGTCCATAGCTAGGGTAAAATAAACTAAGCTTTAGTTAACTCACCAAAAGTAAATGACTTGAGAAAAATAAATAATATATAGTGTTTTGCAAAATTCTGGTAGTATAGATGTGCTGCAAAATGAAAATAAATAGCAAAAGAGTGTTTTTATTATTGTTTATAAACCCTACTGTATGCCCCGTCCTGCACCCTGAGACCCTAAGAGGCATCACTGCTGGTCGTAAACAACCTGCTTGAGGAGGTCAGGGTGGCAAAATCTGTCTGCTGTTTTAGGTCAATGTTGTATTATTTGTTTCATTTATTCTTAAATCTATGTATTGTATGGTAATAATGAAAAAAAACGTAATGTATTGAACACATTCCGAAACAAAGCTGATAAGACAGAACTAGACTCAGACATAATACAAATTATTGTTGAAACATTTTGCGCTGTTGCTGCAAAATGGAAACTTTGTTGATTATCTGTTCCAACTGGCCACTGGATTCAGATAATTAATATAAGTTGAAGTTTAATTACAGTTTTAAATATAGTTTAACATTCTTTATTAAATTGCTTCAAATTATTTCTCGTATCAACCAATTGGTCTCCATAGACATTACTACAATTATAATAGTTGTTAAACTACTGACAAGTTTTCTGAAACCGAGCTTATGAACAAAAGAGTAAAGGTCGCTGGTTAAGCCAGGATCAATATATTTGTTGACGTTTTCATTACAGTGTGCATAATAAATGTGTTAAATAAATTGAGCAATTCTTTAAAAAGTATAATGTTGCAATCTCTTTACAATAAGTAATTACAGTTAAAAAAGTAGATGTTGTTTTCCAAGGGCCTCTCCTTCACAGCCCTACACTTTAAATCATGAGACTTTCAAATCATAACAGACAGAGATCGGTATCACTTTGTGTTGCAAGCCAAATCCATGTAAAGGTTCTACTTGAGCCCAATTTAAATACCATAAAGAAAGTATTGAACCCAGCTCAAGCTAAATGTCAAATGTATTTAATTAATGTACAAGTGTTTTGATTTATTTCAAATGTTCTAATCTCAGCTTCTTTCGAGTTCAGTCTAAGCAACAAATTGTTTCTCATAACATTCTCACTGCTGTCCCAAATGTTTTAACCTTGGGCAGACAAGCTGTTCACACACACACCCACACACACACACACACACACACACACACACACACACACACACACACACACACACACACACACACACACACACACACACACACACACTCACACACACACACACACACACACACACACACACACACACACACACACACACACACACCACACACACACACCACACACACACACACACACACACACACACACACACACACACACACTTTGGATAAGTATTCACCTTATCCACATTGTAAATTGTTGCCTTCTTTAAAGTTATTAGTAATTTAAGATTAATTATTAAATTAAATGTGGTACATAAGATAAAATAAATAAAATAACTTTGACTTGATCATTTTGTTAACAACATTAGACCTGTCCTCTAATCTCTACTAGAATAAGATAAGTGTGCATGTGTGGATGTTTTAACACTCCTTTAATGTACCTCATCTTGATATCCTTTTCATTACAGAGCTGGGGTGTATTGATTCAATTCTGATCCGTGCACGTCCAATTTTGACTGACTTTAGTTCTAATGTTAATGTTAATTTGACTTCAACCCATAAGTAATTATTTAAATTAACTCTAAATTTCACATGATGATGGATTAGGGTTCCACATTTCTTCCACTAATTTGTTTTACAATTAGGCTAAAGGTAAAGAGAGACATTGATGACCTTGTGTCCCTTTTGTTAGTACGTGGTTCCATTTTGTCTATGACCTTGGACGGCTTCACTAAAAGTCACCCAGTTCTGCCCTGCTGCAGTCCGGCTGAGTGCAGTCACAGAGATGCTATGGCTGCTCTACATGACATTAATGGTCTGGTCTGAATGGACACCATTTCCTGCTCCCAGAGAGAATGACACTCCTCAAACTGAACATTACAGCCGTTGATACTGTCTCACATGGGTCTGCTCCCCCCCACTGAGCCATGAACTGAAAGCATGACATCTGCTATGAACACTTGGAAGCCTCCCTGTCACACCAGCACCAACCCTTGGGTCAGTCAGATGAGACTAACGGCTTCACTTAGGGCATTTGGTTCGGATACATGACTCTCGTTACCGCAGAGTGGGTTGTTTTTAAGGCTATTCATACTGCTATGCAGAGGATGCCTGTAAGTTGGCGAGCTGGTAAAAGCCCCTACTATTGTTCAAATAGGCCTAATGTCAGGGGTCTCTTAATGTCTAGTTCTCTATGTATTCACATTATATAGACAATGTTTCCACCTGGTAAAACTAAAGGCTGCACGAAACTCAGGCTGCAATACAACCATTCTGTTCTGCTCTAACAATTCAATTTATAGATTGTACATCAAAACAATTAGCTTTTATTGTTTCCAATGATAATGTCTCCTTAAGTGGAGGAATGCAAACCTGTTTTCAAATGTAAGGTTTTGATTTTGTTTGACATTTCTCAGTAATGACACCCTCAGACACCCAATATTATTCATGCTATGCCTTCAGTAATAACTCAGATGTTAAAGGGATGAAACTTTTACTCCCAAATCAGATATGCTTTGTTTTTCAACAAATGTATCAATTTCCTGCATAATATATGTTTATCACAATGGTACAGCTGCACACAGGTGATACTGAGTCTTCTCGATTAATAGATTATAAACTATACCATGCTTAAATAGACTCCTAAGTTATTATTTCATATGTACCATATGTAAGAAAAGGGAGGAAAGTGTCAATTATATTGAGTAATTTATTTTATATTGGGTAATTTATTT